CACCTTTCTGCTTCTTGACTAAATCTTAAACTAAACTGTCTAGTTGGAGGTTCGGCAGTTGTATCCCCAAAGTAGAGTGCCCTGGATGGCACAGAATGTTGTAGCTATGCAAGTCACCAATTTTGCTGGTCCTTGCGATGAGAATTTACGCTGAGAATTGCTGCCCATTCTGAACGCATCAGTGTTTGAGCTGTTGTAACATTTCTTATGAATCAGACCAGACTTTCACTTCAGAACAATAACAATTCCTTCTAAGAAATCTCGGCTCACTGCAACCTCCGTTTCCTGGGCTCAAGCGATTCTTCTGCCTCAGCCTCCCATGTAACTGGGATTACAGGTGCGTGCCACAGCCACCCGGCTAATTTTTGTATTTTTTAGTAGAGACGGGGTTTCACCATATTGGCCAGGCTGTTCTTGAACTCCTGACCTCAGGTAATCTGCCTGCCTTGGCCTCCCAAAGTGCCGGGATTACAGGCATGAGCCACTGCACCCAGCCATAGATTTTTTAGTGAGTTCGAAATGGATGTAAATTTCCTTTTATAGGAGTTAAAGACATTTATTTTTAACAATTAACCACTGAATTCATTTTCAGAAATAGGCCTGAATTGCTTATTAATTTCATTACAGATGTAACTCTAAAAGCCAATTCCATTTCCGAACTATAATTACCATCGTTTGAATTTAACAGAGAAAAATGTCTTCCAAGACTTCTTTTGGGTGGATGCCTGGTTTTAGAACAGCCAACTTTTTTTTTTTTTTTTTCTGAGACGGAGTCTCGCTCTGTCTCCCGGGCTGGAGTGCAGTGGCGCAATCTCGGCTCACTGCAAGCTCCGCCTCCCGGGTTCACGCCATTCTCCTGCCTCAGCCTCCGGAGTAGCTGGGACTACAGGCGCCCGCCACCGCGCCCGGCTAATTTTTGTATTTTTAGTAGAGATGGGGTTTCACCGTGTTGACCAGGATGGTCTCGATCTCCTGACCTCGTGATCCTCCCACCTCGGCCTCCCAAAGTGCTGGGATTACAGGCGTGAGCCACAGCGCCCGGCCTAGAACAGCCAACTTTACCCTAACCCATGTACAAGACAGTTCTCCAGGTGGCCTTGGACTGACCCAGTTCTCCCTTCTTCCTTGCTTGGAGTTCTTAAGAATAACTGTAGAAGGCACTGAGAATGCAATGTCCTGATATGGAGGAACTGCCTGAAACAGCCTGGCCCTGTTCTTGTCCCTCCTAGGGAATGTAACATCTTGAGTTAGGGAGGAACTGTTTGAGACAGCCAGTTGTGTTCCTCTCTCTCCTTTAAAGCTTTGCCCAATGAGTTATGTGGCTCCTATGGTATATAACCCAAGGCAGGCTATGGTGCAAGTGGGGCACGAACTTTAAGACTCCATCAGCCCTGCCCCGGGCAGCTTTCTTGAGCCCTGGGGTACTGGCTCACCATGGAGCCAGGGCCTCTTTTGTCCCTTGCTTCCTGTCTGTAAGTAATACATCTGCTTCATGTAATGTATTGGGTATGAGTGTGTTCTGTCACACTGGACTCAAGACAGGTTGGTAACCAGTGTACACTGAACCTGTTAAAGGATATCTCATTAATTTACAGACATATATATATAGACTGAAATAATAGGAAGGAAGTCTTTCACTAACCACTAATATTGCAAAGAAAGGCTTTTATTGAGCTAGTATTATTTAATGAAGATGGGCAGCAACTTTAATACAATCTTCTTTTCCAAGACCTTTGACAGACCTTAGGCCCAACTTTCCACCTTTATGTCTAGGAAAGTGCAAGTAAAACACTTTTGAGGGCATGAAAAACACAAGCTTGTTGTTAAGGTGTTATCAGTAGCCAGGGAAATCGGCTGTGCCCCTTTCAGGGTCATCTAACTAAGGCATAGAGAAAGAAACTGCCTCAAGCCAGCTTCTATCACCTCTGCAGGGAAGGTGGCCATGCAAACCAGGACATGGTTCAAAGTGAAAAAGAGTGTGGTTAATAATCACGCCAGAACACCAGATATAAGAGGTAAGGGCAAGTCAGCATTCTGTACATTGCTTCTCCCTTCAATTTGGAAAACTCAGTGCAGTAGGGTTTTGCACTGATCGTTTCACAAGACAGCTAGGAGGAAAGCCTGTGTGCTCTGGAAAATGCATATCTTGTGTGTTTACCCTTTTAAAGGTAACTATACTTCGAAACAGGTGAACTGCAGAAAATTAACAAAGACTTCTCTTTTTACCATGTTTACCTTTTTAAGAATTTCACGCATTTCCGGCCAGGCGCGGTGGCTCACGCCTGTAATCCCAGCACTTTGGGAGGCTAAGGTGGGTGGATCACCTGAGGTCAGAAGTTCAAGACCAGCCTGGTCAACGCTGTGAAACCCCGTCTCTACTAAGTATACAAAAATTAGCTGGGCGTGTGGCGGATGCCTGTAATCCCAGCTACTTAGGAGGCTGAGGCAGGAGAATTGCTTGAACCTGGGAGGCAGAGGTTGCAGTGAGCTGAGATGGCGCTATAGCGCTCCAGCCTGGGCAACAAGAGCGGAAGTTCGCTCCAAAAAAAAAAAAAAAAAAGAATTTTATGCATTTCCTAGGGCATACATGCAAAAGCCTTCACATTTCCCCCTTTTTAAAAGAGATATTTCTCAAACTTATATGTATACAGTTCAGTAGTGTTAAGTACAATCACACTTGTTTTTCAACAGATCTCTAGAATTCTTGCAACACAAGCTCTGTACCCACTAAATACAAATTCACCCTCTCCCCTTCCCCCAACCCTTGGCAACCACCTTTCTACTTTCTATTGTATGATCTTGACTACTTTGGACACTTCACATGGAGGAATCATACAGTATTTGTTCTTTTGTGGCTGGCTTATTTCACTTGGCATAATGCCTTCAAGGTTCATCCACACTGTACATTTGACAGCATTTCCTTCTTTTTAAAGGCTGAATAATATTCCATTGAACGTATATACCACATTTTCTTTATCCATTCATCAGTTGATGGACATTTGGGATGCTTCCAGAACCTCTTGGCTATTGTAAATAATGCTGCTATGAACATGGGTGTCTCTTTGAGATCCCGCTTTGGTGGTAATTCTTATGGTAATTCTGTTTTCAGTTCTTTGGGAAACCCGTGTACTGTTTTCCATGACCACTATTTTACATTACCACCAACAGTGCACAAGAGTTTCAACTTCTCTGCATTCTCCCCAATACTTGTTATTTTTTTGTTCTTCTGATAGTGGCCAACATGATGGGCGTGAGATGATAACTCATTGTGATTTTGATTTATATTTCCCTAATAATTAGCAATGTTGAGCATATTTTCATGTTCTTATTGGCCATTTGTATATCTTCTTTGGAGAAATGTCTGTGCAAGTCCTTTGCCCATTTTTAAAAATTGAGTTATTTGGTTTTCTTGTTGTTGAGTTATAGAAGTTCCTCATATGTTCTGGATTTGGGGTCCTTATAAGATATATGATTTGCAATTATTTTCTCTCATTCTAGAGCTTGCCTTTTCACTTTGTTGATTGCTTCCTTTGACACACAGAAATTTTTAAGTTTGATGTAGTCCCATTTCCTTCCTAACCATCTTAAGTGTACAGTCAGTAAAGTATATTCATCCAACCCTATCTTGCAGACCAGATGACAAACATATTAATGAAAGAACTACTACCAGTCATTGATGCAACACTGAGTCTGAATATAGGCTTAGACGCATTTGGAAACATTCCAAGATATTTATAAGCAAGAGACACGGGGGCATGAATTCCTCAGAATATGTAGAATTATCTAGATTTTAGCCTATCTGACAAGTTTCTCTCCCTATTACCATAACAAAAGTTTTTTAAAGCACTGTATAAACTGAGAGATTTAAGTTAATCACCTGCCTTGCAAAGAACCTTGACTAATGAGTAAATAAAGTTCAGACAGTTGTAAAGTGAAGACAGGATAGCTCTGTCACTGTAGAAAACATTATCATTATATACTATGTAACAGTGTGCAAATAATACAAAATAATATTATAAACCATAGGCTATTAGATTACTAGTCCTTTGAAAGATATTTCTGGAAATGTACAATGAAAGAATTCTAAGTTCTAGGCACTTTAAGCATCTTTTCTCTTCTCTTCTCTTCTCTTTTTTATTAGACATGGAGTCTCACTCTGTCGCCCAGGCTAGAGTGCAGTGGTGCGATCTTGGCTCACTGCAACCACCACCTCCCGGGTTCAAGCGGTTCTCCAGCCTCAGCTTCCCGAGTAGCTGGCATTACAGGTGCCCACCACCATGCCTGGCTAATTGTTTTTATTTTTAGTAGTGACAGGGTTTCATCATGTTGGCCAGGCTGGTCTCGAACTGCTGACCTCAAGTGATCTTCCCGCCTCAGCCTCCCAAAGTCTAGATTACCGGTGTGAGCCACTGTGCCCAGCCAAGCATTTTCTTTAAAATATTCTGCATATATTTCCTATATGATCAGACCTTTAAGTAAAATATCTGATCTTCGGAAATGCAAAGGGATTTCTGGGTATAGGAAAAGTCTTATTTTCTTATAATTACAAAATATATTTTCTACATCATAAGTCGATAGTAAGCGTATCATGTCCTTGTAACAACTAAACACTGGGGCAAATATAATATACTGATTGATAAGCCCTTATGAAAGAATACACATTCATGTTATAAAATAAAATACATCTAAAACCATGGCCAATGTTCAGCCAGGAAGTACCAGTCTGGGCCAACAGGCTGTTTCTGAAAGGCCTGAGTTCTGGTCAGTGTCTGTGCCTTACTTTTGATTATAATCCCTACGTATAGTGCTATAGAACCACTAATGGATAAACATAAAAAAGATAGCTCAAAAATGTCAGACATAAAAAGATATTACAAGCCGGGCCAGGTGGCCAGCACCTGTAGCCCCAGCTACTCCAGAGGCTAAGGCAGGAGGACTGCTTGAGCCTAGGAGTTCAAGGCTGCAGTGAGCTATCACTGGGCCACTGCACTCTAGCCTGGGCAACAGAGCAAGAACTAGTCTCTTAAAGAAAAAAAAAAAAAGAAAAAAAGAAAAAACAAAAAGGCATTACAATTACCAACAGGTAGCTGCAAGAGAAACTTGTGTCTCTTAGCTGGTACCGAATCACTTTCCTCAAAGACTGATGAAGCACTCTCATGCTAAGAAATGCTCATCTGTAAATATTATCAAATGCAGGCACTTAGAATAGTCTAGTTAACAATTTTTAGTAAGCTAGTATATATTATAGCAAAAGCAAAATACTGCCTAGATATGAACGTTTTAGGGGGTTGCTTGGCTGGTCGCCGGCTTGGATTTCGCTCGTACATTCAGCACATAATCATGCCGGAAGGATGAACGGACAGTGCGATTCATCAGTGGCTGAAGAGGGCGGAAGTTGTCCACCATTCTTTTCTCCTTCTCCCCTTCAGAAGTGAAAAGCAGGGTTCGAAATTGCTCAAGCTAGAAATAGAAACAGAAAGCATAAATAATTTCAATAGAAAACTTGCTTTACCTCGTGAATAAATTACTTTCATTTTTACAATTCTGAGCATTCCTTGCAAATTAGATACAGAAGAAGTTATTTCTGGGTAAGAATGCCTTCACCACTTGACAGGGAATAAAATGCCCAGTGGTGGTGGTGATCCTGATGGTGGTCCTGTGGGGAGGAGAGCAGCAGGAGGTGGTGAAACCAGGAGGGCCCTTGGGATCCAAAGACTTGGGGCAAAGGCCCTGTCCCCACATATTATCCATTTACCAAGGATGATGAGTTAATTCATCTCTTTCATTCTCAAGAACCTCCTCTTTAAATAAGCAAAAGAGCCAGCTTACAGAATGAGAAAGGAAAGGTCTGATGCATATACTAACAACACCAAAAAAAGGGGGTTTATAAAACAATTTAACTGAATCATTAACATAAAATAAGTATTACTGATTGCTCACTGCACCTGGGTATTGTGGGCAAAGCAATGCATATTGATGTCTTTATTTTTTCCTTTCCTTTTTTTTTTTTTTTTAAGACAAAGTCTTACTCTGTCACCCAGGCTAGAGTGCAGTGGTGTGATCATGGTTCACTGTAGGCTCAACCTCGGGGACTCAGGTGATCTCCCACCTCAGCCTCCCAACTAGCTGGGATTATAGGCACATGCCGCCACACCTAGCTAATTTTTAAATTTTTTGTAGAGACAGGGTCTCTCTATGTTGCCCAGGCTGGTCTTGAACTCCTGGCCTCAAGTGATCCTCCCACCTAGGTCTCCCAAAGTGCTGGGATTACAGGTGTGAGCTACCACACCAGGCTGCATGTAGGTGTCTTAACTGGAGACAGGATTCTCTATGCTGGTGCTGTCCAATAGAACTTTCTGCAATGATGGAAATGTCCTCTGCATGGTCCATTACGGTAGTCACAAGCCACATATGGCTACTGGGCACTTGAAATGTGGCCAGTGTAACTGAGGAACTGAATTTTACTTTTAATGTACTTATATTTAAATGTAAATGGTTACATGTGTCCAGTGGTTACAACATTAGACAATATAGCTCAATGCAAAAGGAGCAACCCAGAATATCCACAGCTTGTTCTCTGATGTAGCAGCAGTATCGACCAGTAGCCCCTTGGTTTCAGACCCAATTGTGTTATGACATACTTTACTTAGGCTGGGCGTGGTGGCCTACACCTGTAATCCCAGCACTTTGGGAGGCCAAGGCGGGCAGATCACCTGAGGTCAGAAGTTCAAGACCAGCCTGACCAACATGATGAAACCCTGTCTCTACTGAAATTATAAAATTAGCCGGTCGTGGTGACGCATGCCTGTAATCCCAGCTACTGAGCCCAGGAGGCGGAGGTTGCAGTGAGCTGAGATCGCGCCACTGGATTCCCACCTGGGCAAAAAGAGCAAAACTCCATGTCAAAAAAAAAAAAAAAAGGAAATATTTTACTTCAGGCCAGCAGGAAAATCCATTCACATTCCCCTCATTCAAACTGAGAAGACAGCCTGGGGCACAGTAGACAAGCAAGTGAAGAGTCATTTGCAACAAAGGCTTCAGGGCAAATAGAGCTGAAGAGGCAGAACTAGGACTGAAAACAAGCAATGTTTATCACACAGCGGCAAATCACACAAAAGCCCTCACTAATTAGGAAGCTGTACAAGCAGTTAATGTTTCTTTTTATTCAGCTAATTGCAGAAGATTAGAAATAGTCTAAGTATCAAAGATAAATGACATCTATCTATGAAATGAAGTAGTATACAGTCCTTAAAAATACCGAAGATGTTCATTATCTATAAAATGTTCCATGCGGCCGCGTGCGGTGGCTCATGCCTGTAATCCCAGCACTTTGGGAGGCTGAGGCGGGTGGATCACGAGGTCAGGAGTTTCAGATCAGCCTGGCCAACATAGTGAAACCTCATCTCTACTAAAAATACAAAAAATTAGCTGGGTGTGGTGGTGGGCGCCTGTAATCCCAGCTACTCGGGAGGCTGAGGCAGGAGAATTGCTTGAACCCGGGAGGCAGAGGTTGCAGTGAGCCGAGATCGCGTCACTACACTCCAGCCCAGGCAACAGCTAGAGATTGTCTTAAAAAAAAAAAAAAAGTTCCAGGCATCACTGAGTGAAAAGAGCAGCAAAATGGTATGTACAAAATGATTTCATTTTCATACAAAAATTGTGTATATTTATATAGATAAAAGATCAGAAGGACTTACGTGCATCTGGATAGACAAGAGACCAGAAGGATTTCCCCAAACAATGATAGTGGTAAAATTATAGGCAACTAGAATAATATTATAGATGACAGCTAGCATTGTTTTCCTTACTAAATTTTCAGTGTTACCATAAGTTTTATATTAAATTACATTCTGGAAGTAGCCAGTACAGTTAGACCAGAAAATACAAAATAAAATTTTAAATTATATAATTGAAAAATAAATTTTAAAATTTCGTTGAAATTGTATTTACAAAGTCCTCACATGGGCCACTGACCCTCTGATGTATTTACTTTGTTTTTCAATGTTATGTCCATTTGTTTTTCTAGAATGAAAATAAGTTGAGGAAATATGTCAATTTTTTAATCCAAAGAATAGAAACAGACTAAATGTACAGGCCACAAAGCCTATACATTTGCAGGCATAAAAGGATTTTCCTATGCTTATCCTAGTACTTTTATGGTGGTATATATCTGGAATGTATTCCTGTGTAAAGTCTGCATGGTGGATCCAATTTTTCCCCCAAATGCCTGCTCAATTGTTCCTCAACAGCATTTACCAAATACTCTATCTTTCCTGCCAACTGAGTTGAGATGCTATATTTATCATAAAATAAATTCTCATATGTATTTGGACATATTTCTGAAATTATTATTTTCTTCCTGTGATGGTTAATTTTATGTGTCAACTTGATTGGGCCATGGGATGCACAGACAGGTTAAATACTATGCCTACGTATGTCTATGAAGGTGTTTCTGGAGGAGATTAGGATTTGAATTGGTGGACTGAGTAAAGAGAATGGCCCTCCCCAAAGTGGATGGGAATCATCCAATAAATTGAGGGTCTGAATAGAACAAAAAGGCAGAGGAAGGTTGAATTTGCTCTGGTTGCTTGAGCTAGAACATCAATTGTCTCCTTTCTTCAGAGCTCCTGGTTCTCAGGCTTTCAGACCAAGATAGAAATCTACATTATCAGCTCTCCAGTTCTCAGGCCTTTGAACTACACCACTGTCTTTCCTGGGTCTCCAGCTTGCAGATGGCAGATTGTAAGACTTCTTAGTCTCCATAATCACATGGCCAATACCTTATGATAAAACTTTATCTATCTTTTTCTTTATTTATCTTTATAGGGTTATAGAGTTAAGGTTATTTAACCCTTATAGGGTTATTTATCTAACTTTATCAACTTTGTCTTTTTTAATTTTTTTTAATCTTTATCTATATCTGGTATGGTTTGGCCCTGTGTCCCTACCCAAATTCCACATTCAATTATAATCCCCCTGTGTCAGGGGAGGGGATCATGGAGGTGGATTTCCTCCTCACTGTTCTCATGATAGTGAAAGAGTTCTCACTAGATCTGATGGTTTAAAAGTGTGTGGCACTTCCCCCATCTCTCTCTCTCTCTCCTGCCACCATGTGAAGAAGGTCCTTGCTTCCCTTTTGCCTTCCGCCATGATTTTAAGTTTCCTGAGGCCTCCCAGTCATGCTTCCTGTTAAGCCTGTGGAACTATGAGTCAATTAAACATCCTTTCTTCATAAATTACCCAGTCTCAGGTAGTTCTTTATAGCGGTGTGAAAATGGACTAATACAATATCTATCCTATTGGTTCTGTTTCTATGGAGAATGCTAATATACTTCCCTCGATAGATCTCTTTATCCATGTGCCAGTAACATGCTATTTAATTATTGAGGCTTTATAACCTTGTGAGTCTAATTATCCCGTATTTTTCTAGAATTTTCCCTGGCTATTTATGTGTTTGTCTTTATTCATGAGTTTAGAAATAGCATATCGATTTAAAAATCCTATTGGCATGTTTATTGGAACACATTAAATTTATGGTGAATAAACAAGTCATGGAGAATGACAACTTAGGTTGTAATTTATGACAAAAAAGGTGTCTTTATATCTTTTCATCCTATAATGTGTTAACTTTATTAATTCAAGCCTTCTTTTGTATCCTCCAGGAACATTTTAAGTTTTCTTATTAACTTTCCTTGTTAAAATTATTCCAAAGTATTTTATATTTTTGTTTCCATTATAAATAGGGGCCCTTCTTACATTATATCTTTATATCATATCTTTTAACTGATTGTGATTTATGTATGTCAAATGTATTGATTTCTAGAAATTAATATTGTATTCCACTGATTACCAAATTATCTCTGATTTTTGTAGTAGTTTTTAATTGTTTCTCTAATTTATTTTTTATTTTCTGGTCTAACTGCACTGGCTACTTCCAGAATGAATAACTTAATACAAAACTTAATATGGTAACAATCCTTTCCATTCAAAACCTATTGTTTGCTTTTGAACTGAGATCAATCCCTTTTATCAAGATAGGGAAGTCTCTATTCAGCTCTGTTTTATTAAAAATTTTCAAAAACGGAATGGTGATTTTTACAAATGTCTTTTTAACTTCCCTGGAAATGATAATATGATTTTTCTATTTAGATCCACTGATAGAATGAATTATATTAATATCATTCTTAACAATGAACCATTCTCGTATTACTGGACTAAAAGCTACTTGGACAAAGTGTCTGTTTCTTCTGATGAATCTGCTGGATTCTGTTTCTAATACTTTCTTTTTAGCTTTTTTTTTCTTTTATATTCTTTAGAGGGGGTTCCAATCTTTGGTGAGTGTTGGTATCAGTTATGCTGGCTTCATAAAAAGAATTTGGAAGCTTTTTCTCTTATGAGAATGCTTTGTAATCAATAAAAATCCCATAAAACAAGTATGAGTAAATATTATTGTAGTTTAGTTACATTACACATTATACAGGATTTTGAGTGTTTGCATAGTAACTACTACTTAGGCTTAGTTTCTAAGGGAAAAACAGAACCCAAGTTCAAAAAATGAACTTACATGAAAGTTTCTGGACAAACACTGTTGAATTCTGTATTTATTCTGAGATTCTATAGTAGAATTCCCTTAAGGATTTTAAAGACTTTTGAACACATTCATTTCCAGCCTTCACTCTTTCCTTTAAAAGGGTCTTGATTTTGTAGAGTTTAATATTTATATATAAAATACACAAGGCATAAGAAGACATATGTAATTGTCAAATATAGATGTAAAAAGCTTATGTTTTTCTGTGTTTTAACTCTTCTCTCTAGTTAATTTGAAACATCCCCAAATTCATGTCCAAACTGAGACAAGACGTTGGTACACTTCAATAGAAATGTATAAGCATTACAAGATGTTAAAACTGATGCCACAGTCTGAGCCCAGCCTTGTTTTAAATGGGCAGACAAGGATTTCCTTAGATTGAAATTGTGGAGAGAACGTACCTGATCGTGATCAACCTCTACTGGTTGCTTCTTAATGATCCAGGTGACAGACTCGGAGAGGGGTGGGGTAGTCAGAGACCCTGAGTAGGTCCAGTAATCTGGGCAGGTAGGCATCAGGCAGGAAGGGTCAAATGACCCAAATTCCACAAGGGTGTCCTGACCAAGAGAAGAGATAACTGAGTCATTATTTAGTGGTGAAAACCACTCAGGAATCGGACAACGAGGTGATGGTTCTCAGGGAGTATCTGGAGATGAGCAGTGGTCCAGAGGAGCTCCGGGCCTTTCTGGGCAGCTTCCTGAAGAATCGCTGCTTAGGATGGAATCATGTCCAGGCTTTGTTTCTGCAATTAACTGTGTATTTTTTATATTCCACAGTAGGAAAACAGCCAAAACCATTTGATCTCTCAATTCTAGTGAGGTTACATCAGGTAGTCTCCTCTGAGTTTTGTTGAGAGGTTTCAGACAGCGGCCATTGCATAAAGAAGGAGGCTTTGCATTTTCAAGAGAGGCTAACTGAGACTTGTCCTTTTAGGAAGAAATGCAGATCAGGAGGAGCCAGAAACCTGGACTGAAAGGAAAGAGAGGGAAAAAGAGGAAAATGGAGAGGAGAGGAGAAGAGAGGAGAGGGAAAGAGGTGGGGACCAGAGGGATACAGTGGGGGATGAGAGGGAGAACGAGAATATATGGGCCTCCACAGAGCAGCCCTTTGAGATTCTGAATATTGAAGAATTAATATTGGGGGACTAGACAAAGGCATCCGACCTGAAGGATGTGGGTCATTGTTCTTTCCAGCTGGACAAGGCAAGTTTCTGTAGAACTGCTCTCTGCTCCCTGCCTGTGGGATGGCAGTTACAGACAAGAAGGCTGCTCTGGGTATGTTCACAAGGACTTAGAAGGAGCTGGTGTCAGGAACAGAGGAGGGGACAGCAATATGTTCCTGAGTCCCCAAGTCCTCAGCGGCACCGCGGCAAAACCAAAAAGCTCACTGCCTACCCACAGAATCATGACTTCCGTCCCCTGGAATCATAAATGACAGTTTTCTTCTAAGGCTCAATACAGTTCACGTAATTAAACTTCCCAATTCAAAGTGCCTTGGTAATGTCTCCACTCTGAGACTGAAACATAAAAGTACATTTCAAGTAATTATGGAAAACATATAGTACCTTATGCTTAATTGACGGCAAAGTATCCACTAATTTCTGTAGCTCTTTATGATGTTTGCCTAGCTAAAGAACAACAAATAAGAAAATATTACAAACAGTGGACATCTCACTGTAGAAACTAACAGAATGTGAATTAAAATTAACTAACTGGTGATTACATAAAAACAAACTGCATGACTGAAATTACACTTAAACTTGTAATTTATAATTTTATAAACATTACTGAATTAAATTAGAGAACACATGAGCAGGCTGTTTGCTGACAAGGTCAGCATGCCTGCAGAGAAAGGTGCCCCCTGCTTCGTTTAAGTATAAGTTCTTAAATTGGAATTAAAATTAAATAAAATGAAAAATGGTTCCACAATTGCAGTAGACACATTTCAAGTGCTCAACTGCCACATGTGGCTTGTGACCACTCTATTGGGCTGTGCATTTTTATACCATTCAAAATATATTCTTTTTTTGGTGGTGCAGGGGATGGAGTCTCTCTCTGTTGCCCAGGCCAGAGTGCAGTGGCACAATCTTGGCTTACTGCAGCCTCCACCTCCCAGGCTCAAGTGATCCTCCTGCCTCAGCCTCCCGAGTAGCTGGGATTATAGGTGCACACCACCATGCCCAGCTAATTTTTGTATTTTTAGTAGAAATAGAATTTCCCCATGGAAACCAGGCTGGTCTCTTAACTCCTGACCTCAAGTGATCTGCCTGCCTCAGCCTCCCAAAGTGCTGGGATTACAGGCATAAACCACTGTGTCTGGGCCTAAAATATATTCTTAACAATCCTGTATTTCTTTCTTTTTTTTTTTTTTTTTGGGGGGTGGATAGAGTCTCACTCTGTCAGCAGGCTGGAGTGCAGTGATGCAATCTCAGCTCACTGCAACCTCCGTCTCCCAGGTTCAAGTGATTCTCCTTGCCTCAGCCTCCCAAGTAGCTGGGATTACAGGCGCCCATCACCACACCTGGCTAATTTTTTTGTATTTTTAGTAGAGATGGGTTTTCACTATGTTGGCCAGGCTGGTCTCAAACTCCTGACCTCATGATCCACCTGCCTCGGCCTCCCAAAGTGCTGGGATTACAGGGGTGAGCTGCCACGCCTGGTCGTACAATCCTGTATTTCAATCACTATTTATCTTACCAATGTATGGATCCCAATATTCTTAAAGTAAATAACAATATTATAATGTTCTATCTTTCCATTCTAGAATACGACACATCATTTAAAGTTGGTGAAATTTTTTACCTTTAAAAATACTCCTATCACGGCCAAACCATTTTCTTCCAGTGCTGCATCCTCAAAGTTTTCAAATTTGACTGCATTCCAATGCACTAAGTGCAGCTGAAACACCATGGAAAGAGGGTTAACACATGACTACACAGACTCTCTCCAGAATAAACCCACAGCCTCAGTCAACCTACGACATTTAAACACATTTCTTCACCCAAAGTAAAGCCACCAAGAAAACCATATGACAACATGGTGCAAGATTAGACAGAAACAAAGATCAGGGAGAAATTTAGGCAAGAGCAGCAATTAATATTATTTTAGAATGAAGGGATTTATTTGGGGAGAAAAATAGAAAATTCATATAACAAAGTGACACTTCAGTGAGCAAATCAACATCTGTCCAGTCCCATCTTGAGTTGCATGAAATACCAATATTCAAAATCCACTTGCATCTACAGGAGGGACGACGTTTATATTGAGAGAAATAGATCCTCCATATGGAAATTACGCAGGAGTTAAAGACAAACTTTTTCTTCAAAGAATAACCATTTAAAATGTGCTTTTAGGCTGGGTGTGGTGGCTCACACCTGTAATCTCAGCATTTTGGGAGGCCAAGGTGGGAGAATCACTTGAACCCAGGAGTTTGAGACCAGCCTGGACAACATAGCGAAACCCTGTCTCTACCAAAAAATTTAAAAATTAGCAGGGCAGGCCGGGCGCGGTGGCTCAAGCCTGTAATCCCAGCACTTTGGGAGGCTGAGGCGGGTGGATTACGAGGTCAGGAAATCGAGACCAGCCTGGCTAACACGGTGAAACCCTGTGTCTACTAAAAATACGAAAAATTAGCCAGGCGTGGTGGTGGGCACCTGTAGTTCCAGCTACTCGGGAGGCTGAGGCAGGAGAATGGCGTGAACCCGGGAGGCGGAGCTCGCAGTGAGCTGAGATTGTGCCACTGCACTCCAGCCTGGGTGACAGAGTGAGACCCTGTCTCACAAAACAAAATAAAATGAAACAAATATAAAATAAATTTTTAAATGTGCTTTTATTTTTTACATAACATTTACAACTGAATTAGGAAAAAAGTTGTAAGAAGAAATTCTATTTCCTTAAAATCTCCCTTTATTTCCCTATAAATTATTCCTCATCCACCAGTTATGAATGCATTATCACCCAGCCTCCCAAGTGAGACACCACAAAATCATGGTTAACTTTGCCTTCTCCTATCCTGAAAAGAACCCCACCTTCAAGTCCTGTTGCTTTAATTTCCGAAACGCTTGATAAATCTTGCTCCTTTTCTCTATTTCTATTGCCACAGCCTTCATTTAGGCTCCCACCACCGCAAACTTGCATTAATTCGACCTGTGGCTCCACAATGTTCCCTGGGTTATTACTTTGGGCTACTATTTGAGTCCACCTTCGAATTCCAGAAGAATTCAGTTTCAGGATCTTAAGGTTCATTTCAACTATATTATTTGAGATGAGAGAAGTTAACATGTTTACATGTCTTAGCTGAGAATGATCAAAACTGCCTGAGAAAGCTATTTAGCATTTATAGGAATCACCTGATTCTTTCTGCTAATTTCTTACAACTAAAAGTTCAGAATTATCCCCACTTCTCTGCAGTTGTCACTGTTCCTGACCTTCTCAACATACCTCTGCTGGGAAGCATTTGCTGTCCACGGTGTGCTCAGAACCCCAGGCATCGATGGCCCCCCAGTGAAAATGGAACTGCTTCAATCGGTAGTTGTGTTCCAGGGGTCCTCCCTTGATCACTAAAATGGCACATCCAACAATTCAGAGAAGAGTTATTTGTGCAGTGGGGAAATGTGGGTGAAAGGCCAAATCTCCAGTGGACCCTCCACGTGAAGTGTGTTAAATGGATTACACTGAATTACATACAAGTGATTATACATTTGATTTTCATGAAGTCAATGCACGTATAAGGACAAGACCAAATAACATAAAGATTTAACTACATAACAAGCTACAATTGTTAAAGGCCAATTCTTGACTTAATTTTATATCCTATATTATTGTGTCCAGTTTTCTTTTGTGTGCAATAAAATGCAAATTTCTCTCAGCATATTTATCCAACATGACTTTATAATACTGAAATATGGGGATAAAGGGATCCTTCTTTTTTTATGCACAGACACTTTGTTTTTCAATTTTTTAAGATACTAGTGTTGCTTTCCCTTTCATTGAAATGGAATAGGAAATTTGCAAGTCAAAAACGATCACCTGGGAGATGTTGGTCAAAAGGTACAAAGTGTCAGTTAGGAAGAATATGTTTTCAAGATTTATTGCACAGCATGGTGACCATACTTGATAATAATGTATTGCACATTTCAAAATTACTAAAAGAGTAACCGTAGATTTTCTCACTACAAAAAAAAAGATGGTAAGCATGTGAGGTGATGAATATTTTCATTGCTTGATATAATCATTCCACCATGCATACATATATCAAAAGATTACATTGTCCCAGGTAAATATATACAAATATGTCAACTGAAAAAACACACTGGCCGGGCCCTGGTGGCTCACACCTGCAATCCCAGCACTTTGGGAGGCTGAGGTGGGTGGCTCATCTGAGGTCAGGAATTTGAGACCAGCCTGGCCAACATGGTGAAACCCCATCTCTACTAAAAATACAAAAAA